CAGGCCGTAGTATTTTCATAGCCTCTACAGGCCGTAGTATTTTCATAGCCTCTACAGGCCGTAGTATTTTCATAGCCTCTCCAGGCCGTAGTATTTTCATAGCCTCTCTAGGCCGTAGTATTTTCATTGTCTCTCCAGGCTGTCTGCTGGTGATGATGATGTGATTGCCCCTTGACGAGGATTGCTAGTAGGTGGTGCCCTTGTGCTGGCGGGCAAAGGAGTAGATGGTTGATAGGGATTCTGGTGTTGCCCCTGCCATATGAGTATTGTGATGCCTCTCCAGGTGTCTTTTTGTGGTAGGTTGGTAAGAGTTTGGTATTGTTTTTGTCAATGTGAGTATTTTAATGCCTCTCCAAGCGTCTGCTTGTAATAGGTTTTTTTCTAAATTTTGTTTTCTTAGCTTCGACTTTTTCATATTTGAAGCTTTCCTTTTTCTGCTATTTTTCTAAATGCTTCGGCTTTTTCAACATGTATGAAGTTTGCCTTTTTCTGTTTTATCTTTTGTTATCATCATTGGTGGAGGGATCCCATCCCATGATGATGTTATTTGCTTAATGTTCTTACCGGGAATCCGAGGTAGTGATGATCCGCTAAGTAAGATCGGTGAGCCTCTTTCACTGGTACGTTGATGCTCTAAGATGGGGGTGGTACCTGCAAAAGAGACTCTGATGCCAAAGTTAGGGTTTGCGTGAGTATATGTCTCGTATAAGTAATGCACATACCTTGGTGTGAATTAGGGTTCTTCTGGGCCTTGGGCCCGAGATCTGTTATGACCTATTTGAATGATGAGCTGATGTCACACAGCGCGTGTCCGAGGTCGTCTTGTGCTATGAGGCCAAGCTTGGATCTCAGCTTCGTAGTACGGATAGTACACGAGCCCCCCGAGCTCTGAAGACCATAGGTCGAGGAGTTAAGACCGAGCTCGTCAAGTGGTCGTGACCCTTCACGTACGCTTATCTGTCAATATGCCATGTGACGTAACCGTCGCCTCGTTCTTGGAAACGTGTAGGCGGCGCGTTTAATGAGGAGTGACGGTTATGTAATGTTGGCCGTGCTTGCCATAATGGGGTTCATTAAATGTGTCACCAGTTTTGCCCCCTGGCTGACACGTGTTGAGGCTTTTTTTGAAAAAACCTTTTCTTCTCTCTCTCGCGTCCCTTCCCATTCACTTTACTTTTTCCACTTTTTCTTTCTCCTTGGTTTCTTGAGTACGCCAGTTCTTTTTGCCTTCTTGCTTCTGCCATCTTCGTTTTCGCATTTTCTCTCTGTCGTCAGTTCTGGCAACCGGGTTCCCACCCTCCGTCTTTATTCTTTATCTGTCAAAGGAGTACCAGGTACTTCTATTTCTTTAGCTTCTCCTTCTTCTAAAATCTCTTCCATTTCTTGATGGCTGGAGAGAGGGGTGTTGCATCTTCTGCGCCTGCCAAAGGCAAGGGCAAGGCGCGCGGAATGGCGGTGGCTACCGGAACGGCCGCTGCCGAAAAGAAGAAGGCGGACAACCCGCCTAAGGATCTCGTCCCCGGCGTTCCTGGCTATGACTGGGTCAGGCGCGACGTGAGGGAGTTCCAGAGTGTATTCAAGTCATTTTTGGAGATTAATGCGATTCGAAGAACGCATAGGATCTGTGAACCT